ATGGACTCAGCTGGAGTCTACTTCGTCTTCGGACCAGGTAATCCTTACAAGTAAATGCTACAAAAGCCTTTCATTAATCTTGGCGCTGTTCACTTTGTTCTTGTTCGGTTCGATAGTTTGCGTGCGCATACCTGTCTTTGGACCGACCAAGTTAACAGCGAGGTTCATAGTTATCTTAAATTGACTTAGGTTAACACTGTGTTGTGAACGTATCGCCGGAGGCCGTCACACAAAGGAATTAATGATATTGCCTTGTTACACTACTACTCTTACTATACGGGGAGTTGTCTTGCAGTCATCTGATTCCCTCCAGTCACCATGTAGCCAGCAGTAGATCCAATAAGCGAAAGAAGACCCTCACTGACTCACGTGGAATCGTTATCTATGGCCTTTAACTCGTCGATGCTTATTCGATGTTGTTCAGAATCCCCTTGACTTGGAATCTGCAACGAAGGCTCCTGTCCTGATTGAAATAGATCTCTTGAATTTCTTGCAGTCTCTGATCAACAGGACTTCACCGAACCTAGGCCACAGTAGACTAGTCAGCTTGTACCTCCGTACACCTACTGTAAGTGTATGTGCATTTATGTGTGCGTGTGTGTGTGTGTGTATGTATGTATGTATATAAGTGTGTGTGTATGTATGTATGTATATAAGTGTGGCGTATGTATGTATGTATAATATGTGTGTGTATGTATGTATGTATATAAGTGTGTGTGTATGTATGTATGTATATAGTGTATGTATGTATGTATATAAGTGTGTGTGTATGTATGTATGTATATAAGTGTGTGTATGTATGTATGTATAAAGTGTGTGTGTATGTATGTATGTATATAAGTGTGTGTGTATGTATGTATGTATATAAGTGTGTGTGTATGTATGTATGTATATAAGTGTGTGTGTATGTATGTATGTATATAAGTGTGTGTGTATGTATGTATGTATATAAGTGTGTGTGTATGTATGTATGTATATAAGTGTGTATGTATGTATGTATATAAGTGTGTGTGTAATGTATGTATATATATAAGTGTGTGTGTATGTATGTATGTATATAAGTGTGTGTGTATGTATGTATGTATATAAGTGTGTGTATGTATGTATGCATATAAGTGTGTGTGTATGTATGTATGTATATAGTGTGTGCGTATGTATGTATGTATATAAGTGTGTGTGTGTATGTATGTATGTATATAAGTGTGTGTGTATGTATGTATGTATATAAGTGTGTGTGTATGTATGTATATAAGTGTGTGTGTATGTATGTATATAAGTGTGTGTGTATGTATGTATATAAGTGTGTGTGTATGTATGTATATAAGTGTGTGTGTATGTATGTATGTATATAAGTTGTGTGTGTATGTATGTATGTTTGTATATAAGTGTGTGTATGTATGTATGTATAATAAGTGTGTGTATGTATGTATGTATATAATGTGTGTGTTGTATGTATGTATATAAGTGCGTGTGTATGTATGTATGTATATAAGTGTGTGTATGTATGTATGTATATAAGTGTGTGTGTATGTATGTGTGTGTGTAATGTATGTATGTATATAAGTGTGTGTGTATGTATAGTGTGTGTGTATGT